AAAAAACTAATTTTTACTATATAAATACTAAAAATAGAAAAAAATATAAAATTTTGTATAACCCATAGTGGAAATAGCAATTTACCATAGTGGAAATAGACATTCCCTAAATCAATTATCAATATTTTTTGCAATAGTAATCGGTTAAATCAATTGATTATAATCAATTTAATTGCTTGTAATCGATTATAATCAAGTTTCAAAATTTTCTAATGAATCTGTATAGACCAACAATGAAAATAATAATCAATCTTTAAAGATTAATTCATGCTAAACTCTAGTGATTATCTTTATTGTGGATTAATCTCTAGAGGATATTTTCATTGCGATCAATTTCTAAGAATCTTCATCATAGATAATCTTTAAAAATTATTTTCAGAAATAATTAATTGCTAAAGATTTTAAATATATAAATGTATGGCTAACTGGATTATTTTTATCACAAAAAAAAAAAAAAAAAAAAAAAGACCAAATACTATTATGGAATCTGTAAGAGACCATTCTTAACTTCCAATAGATTAACACAGTATAATAATGCTATGCATTAAGAAAGATCGATAATTCCTCAATCTGTTTAGCAAATATCTCAATACTCACAGAACTTACAAGGTTTACAAGAACTAACAATACCAGAACATGATGAAAATTTGTGGGCACATCTATTACAAGGATATCAGAAGCATCTCTAATTTCTTCAACTACTTATAAAGAAAACTCTATGGAAATGAAAAATCTAGAATTCGAAGAAAAAAATATTAATGAAGATATTGTAAGTGGTATAGAAGATAATATATTACTGCAAAATGAACTACATTATTTTTTTCAAAATTTATCAAATAAAATAGATCTAAATATTGATCAAAAAATCATAGAAGATATATCGGATGAAGAATTATCAGTAGAAGAATCATTAGTAAACCTCAAAAGTAATGACTTTGATCTTGAAAACCTTCAAGAAATAACGTTAGACAATGCTTTAAATTCTATTGAAGGAATAAATAACCCAGAAAATATAGTAGAATGGCCTAATAATGCCTATTGAAACTTTATGAAATTAATAATAAAGAGTAATATCTTCAACAGTATTGGTAATAAAATAATCAAAATTTTCAATAAACATAGTAATTTGGAAATATCACCATTACCAAAATTAATTAAAAATAGTAAAGATTACCTGAATTAAATAAAATCTCCTTCAATAAACTTCAAAAACAAAGATAGTTGCAATGTATTTTGAAAACAACATAGTTCTCCATTATTGTCTAATATTTCGAGCAATTCAAGCTCTTTTGCAACAACCAGAAATAAATAACAATATTGTTCTTAAAGGAATTCTAAAAAAGGTTAAATAAATTCAAATTATATAATATTTACAATTGGCCATTGTATATATACCTAGGGTTTTATTCAAGAACTCCATTTTCTCCAAAGATGTCAATATAACCAGAGTTACACATCGAATAATACTAACATTTTTTAGCCAGTTTTCATATATAACTTTTTTAGTATTGTTGGAGATCTGCTATATTCCAAGCTTTCTTCAAGAACCAGATTAATAAAGCGGTGAATAATACCTAGCAAATGTTATAGATGATTATGAAATATAAAATTTGGATCTAATTTAATGAAATTTTAGAATTTTTAATGTGTCATTATCAGGCATAAGCATGTTACTGTACTTATATAGTTTGTTTTTATATTTGAATTGCCCATTTCTTTATCAGTTTGCTTTGTATAATATCTGACTTCAATCATTCTATCAATAAATAGAATTAAAATTTATAAAAAAAAAAAAAAGTGCAAAAACAAAGGTGTGTTTATAATATAAAATAATTAACTTACCTATTTTTTTCTTGACTAATAATTTTAGATATATTATCCAAACTTTTTTTTAGTAATAGGTTAGAATTTAGGGTTAGAGTTGCTTTAAAAAAAGTATAATTAGATTTTAGTAGGATTTATATTCTTAAAAGAAGACCCAAATTTCACCATCATTCAATTTCACGATCATCCACAGCAATAGATATTATTTTTTAGAGAACACTATATACAATAGCTATGGTATTAAATAATTAATAAAAATTCTTAATTTTAGTAATTATATTTTTCAGAATGATAAAAGTAAGAGAGTTTTTGGAGAACCATATGAAGGAAATTGGGGGCTTGAAACAAAAAAAACTCTTCCACTATTGAACTACCTATTATTAATCATCTTTTATTCTGATGCTACCATATTTGACAGCCTTGGCAAGACTTTAGAATATCCAATATTTTTAACACTTAGAAATCTTCCAAATTGGGTTCAAAATTCACCAAATTCTAAAGTTCTTTTAGAATTTTTGCCTAATATTAAAGACAGAAATTACAAATGCCAATATTTTTCAAAATACACAATGCAAAATATATTATAAATCCTTACAAATAATGCTCTATCCTTTGTTAAAAAAGCTGAATACTCTATATTTTGGAATTAGGAAACAGGCAGTAATTTTTGCTACATGTATTTCATTTTTTATCTTAGACATTTTAGAAGCTGACGAGATAATAGCAATATATAAAACAGCATGATGTAAAATGCCATGCCATATTTGTATGGTTTTGCGAAGTGATTTAAATCAAATAAATCTTGAGTCAGAGAAAATAACGCTCGGAACTCCAAATAATATGCGACAGATTATAGCAGAAGGACATGGCAAGAATTTTTCTATACATAATATAGAAAATGTTTTTTGAGAGTTTTTGTAAATATCTAAACCATCAGTATTTTAATGATTACTTTTTTAAAGAACTTAAATTAATACTATTTTCAGAAATATAAATATTTACAAAGCCTGTATTCCTGATTGTATGCACCATATTGATCTCAATTTCTTTAAATACTAGTTGGACTTTATCTTAGAAATTCTAAAGGAAGTCAGGAGAACAGAATTACAAAAAAAGTTCAATGACTATCTTTGTTGAATTCCTCATTAAATTACTTAGTAATTTAGGGCAAATAAAAGTAATGACTGTGGCAGACTATTATCATATAATAAAAGTTGCTCTTTTTGCTTTAGAAGATATTTTTGATAAGTAGAATGAAGTAAGTTGCAAAGAACTTTGCAAGCTTTATACAAAGTTTAGCAAAATGTATATTATAAGCAGACAAGAGTCATATGCCAAAAAGGATCTGAAAAAATTTAAAGTAAATTGGTCAAAATTAAAAAAAAAATAGAATAGCATATTTAATTAAAGAATATCATGTAATTTTACAAACATGCATATTTGTGAAATTGCATGATAAATATTAAATAATATATTGAATAGTAGTATTCGAACTATGTCATTCAACACGTTAAACTTTTAATTTAGCCAGTATATATAAATTAAGCTGAAATTTTGACTTATTTAAACAGGATGAAATTATCAATTGGTGTAAAGAGTTCAAGAGAATCTTTTTTCCATTATTGAAAACTAATTGCAGTTTCTCTAAGCTACACAGTTGAAGATATCATACTGGTATTTTTTTTTTTAAATAAACATTAGAATATAATTTTGTTCTACTTACCAATAAATAATATATATATATATATATTTTTTGTTAAAAAAAAAATATCTTGCTATTTTATAATTAAGTTACTGCAATTCACAAGTATGAAGCATTGAATGGTCTATCAACAGAAACCTATGAAATGCTTTATAAAACTTATATTAAAACCTCTGTACTGATCTTCAAATAGAAAAAAATAATATAACAATTAGTAAAAGCAGTTAGTTTTAAATCTTAATAAGCTAATGAAGTTTTTTTAAAGAAAAAACTCAACCCCAAAACTTCTAGATGAAATGCAAAGAAATAATGCCAACTATCAACAAAATAATTCATTAAAAGACTAAAGGCTTTGGAAAAATACTTTGGGATCTAAATCTAAATGAAATTAAGCCAAAAGTAACTCTTTTAAATAAGTCAAAAAATCTATCACACCCTAAATTAGTTAAAGGGCTATTACAAATAAACTTCACATTGAATATTTTTCTGAATATCTTGTTACAAAATTCTGAAAGTGATAACTCTTCTATTATAATATATGAGGCTGTTTATTTAGACAATGGTGAAATTTTACAAACTTCAGGGGATTTCCAAGACAAGGAATGGTTTAGTAATATTTTAGTTTCTCCTGCAAAAGACCAAGATGAATCAATTGCTGGGTTATGGTATGGAAAGATAAATAATAATTCAGTTATTTTTTAGAGAAATCTTTATAAATATTTATCACAAATCATATTTATTACAAATATTGCTTGGATCTAGAAATCTGTAATCTCGGTCATACCATCTAGTTATGGGAGCTTTGGCGCAATAAATCTGAGAAACCGGA